TTAACTTTCAAACGCTGTAGGACGATTTTTGTGTAAACATATATGGAGAATCGCTGGAAAATCGATTTAAACAATTTTATAGGAGCTGCGAATATCTTTAAAAAAAAATAAAAAATAATATTTCCCAACTTTTAAAATATTGCAGAAATATTTTTTTTAAACTATATTTGTAGCCTAGTTTCCTATCCATATCGTTTCATATATTATCGTTAAAACACATTGCTTTTAGCTTACAATAATTTAAAATTTTAAAATATTTTTCTTGACAATGAAATAAGTCAACTGAAAAGCTGAGACTTTACGGAAATCTGACTAACTAACAAACGGAGTGGACATGCCAAACACGACCAACAAGCCAAGTCTGCATTTTGAGGCTGTCAGCAAGAGGGCAAAGGCAGGGCACCCGACTACAAAGGCAACAAAAACTCAACTGGGTACCCAATTACAGCACCCTCGGTAAGTTGGCATGTCTTCAGCCTGCACCAAACCGGGCCATGCTACAAGCCCTATTCCGATAGAAAATTTCTGCAACTTTCTGCAGTAGGTTATAACTTTTTCCACTTCACTTGTCTGCACCTTGAAACAAACTGCCTAGTGCAATGCTGTATCGGATGTGCTGCTTTTAGCATACTTTCATAATTTTCTAAAGCTTGTCTGAAGTTCATTTGAGCAAACTCAGCAAACGGCAACACACAATTTGGTTCTGAAGTGTGTTCATTTTTTCACATTTTTTTTGCCATGCTTGCCATTTTACATCGATAGCTTCAAACTTTTTGCAAACTGCACTTGTGATTGCTTCGTGTGTATTATTTAGATGTTGTTGTTGCTGCAGCAACAGTAATCGAAAAGTTAATTCTCCGAAAAACAAGGTAATTAGTGTAGCAGTGCCCATAAAAAGCAAACGAATGTGCAAAAATAACGAGAAAAGTTTGAAAAGTGCACAGCGACGAGCGAGGAAAAGGCAACAGCAACGCCAAAGAGCAACAAGAAAACTGTGTGGCATTCTTGCTTGCAGCACGTTGTAATAAATGGCCACGCCGAGAGAGCTTCACAACAAGAACACTAAAAACAGCAACGACAATCGGTGAGCGACAATGCCACAGGTAGAAAAGTAATTGCAACTGAAACAGCAAAAAAAAAATAATAATAATAAAAACCAGAATATACTCGGAACGATGTGCCAAATATGCAGGGTTGCCAGGCGTCTGCAGAAGGGCTAAGTGCTGATGTTGCCAACTGTTTTAGTTAAATATGTATCAAGACTTAATTATGCACTTGTCGGCTATTTAATTGTTATAAATGTGGACTTTTGTTTACTGGAAAATAGTTTCTTGATGGTCTTAGCTACTTATTAGAACATTCAAAATAAATGAGCTACCCACACTTCGTGTTATTTTAAAATAACTTATTTAATAATTTAAACTGTTTAACCGTTCAATTGCTTTTGTTGTGTATTTGACAATATTTCAAAGTGTATCATTCAATTGTAAATTGAATGCTCTCTGAACAGAGACATTTTAAATTAGTAAAATGTAGAATTAATAAATAATGTAGCTGTCAATGCAATGCATGCAACTTATTGTCATTCCGCATTTTTGGCATTGCCAAATCTGCATTACACAGTGCACGGTAGAAAACGAACGCATGCTTAATTCTTCTAACGTACGCACGAACCTTCAATTAATTAATAAGCTAAACTTTTAGACGTTCAATTGGCGTAAACAACTTTGCCGACTGTCATTGGTTACGCCAGCAACTTGAGATCTTTTCCACCATGTGGCTGGCGGTAAATAAAACGCCCTACATATTTCTGTGTGCATGTGCCAAACAACCCCTTTTCCACCCTCTTTCTCTCTTCCGCTCCGATTTGCTTGCGCCTAATGACAGCATAAAGTTTTTGCCACCACATCAATCAAAAGTTTTTCATCAACGTCATCAGAGTTATCAACAATGCCCGCAGGCGGCTAAACTACAACAGCAACAACTAGGAATATAGCAACGCCTCGCTTTCGCCACGAGCAACATACACATTCTGGTCATGTTGATAAACAACAACAGCAACGACATTCAGAACAACAACAAGGCAGCTGTAGCAGCAAAATCATATGTGTAGTTAAGCGTGTGCACGCCTCGTATACGTAATGTGACGTTTTCCAGAGCCATGCGACACATAATCAACAGCCGAAGCGCTCTGAACTTCAGCTAAATGTCTGTAAATTTATGCTCGACAACAACAAAAACAACAACAACAATAGAGCTGACCACGTGACCGTAAGACAAACAAATATGTTTGTACCTACCACACCAAAGAAAAATGGCAGCACAAAGCCTCAAAACAACAACGACAACAACAACACTAGCTTCCACTTGAAAATATCATCAACCGAATTGCGGTTCGCAGCCAACTAAATAACTCAAATGAAATGCCTAAGATGCCTGAAGTGCCGCACAAATCTTTTTAAGCTGCAGACCCTGCGTATACGTAATATTGATAAAACAGGCGCACTTCATCTTCATCATCGGGTCACATAATCAGCTTCATCATCAATGGAGTGGGGCAGGGCTAGCGGGTGTCGCCATTACCACACCTAAGATAAACATATACAAAAACACACATACATATATATATTTAAGAGCGAGAGGAGCCATGACTCAGCAGGGAGCAGCAACCTTCTTACCGGACGACATCTTCATCTTTGAAATGCGTTTAATTATGTCAAAGCTGCATAGTGGAACCTTTTTTGCCAAGTCCGTTCACTGGCCCCAGGACAGTGACACACAGACAATTGACATCTTCTAACGAGTACAGAATGTGATTGGGAATGAGATAGAAAGAACGATGATGGAAGTGTAGGGGGGAATGATTCCACCTGCGTGCTTATATACCTTACATACATATGTACCTTTTGCCATCGTATTTTACATTTGTTTCATTTTTGCGATGTTTCACATTTAGCTTGACAAAGCAGCTTTTGTGCATAATCGTAATACTTGCTAGCCGGGCTTTAACTACCATCCCACTCTGCACGCTTCCATCGCCAATCCGGATACGTGCGCCCACCCATGACGATACCGACTTTGACTGCGCTATTTGAATGAGATCTCCGACGAAGGGCATAATCTACCAATTACCAAAGTGTTTTACCCTAAGCTGAAGCCGTAGCTTTTGCTGTTGCTGTTGTAGTTGCTGCTGGACGGGACCTCGACTTGCGCTAAATGAATGTCAAGCAGTAATATTTATTTAGAATGTCTGATGTACGTGTATACAAATCTACTTTTTTTTAACTGTGTCGCAAAAGTTAAGCAGAGAACAAACGATATCTTCAAATGCGCATTTACATAGCAAATAAAGTTTGTTCTGCTCCATGCTGTCAATGCAATGAGTAACTTTGTGAAATGTTATTTTATTATATATTTTTTTGTATAAAAATACTTTGAGTAGATTGTGTTTAAGATTACGTGTTAACTTTATGAATACTATATTCTTGTTTTGAGCCCCAATCAGCTAATGACTCCCAAGTAGAGCTTAATGATGCACATCGCATCATCTACTGCCCTACTTTAGGCGAGCAAAAAATATAAAAGAGAAACAAACACACAGACATCGTAATCGTTTTTATATAGTATGTATTAATATGTATTAATATGCTCAAGTAGCTGTCAAGATCCAAAAATCCAAATGGTGTAATTGCTGTTTTGTGCTGTCTATTTAACAGAGAGAAAATAACAGGAAAATGAAAACAATATCTAGAATACCATATATTATGTAGTCAGTTCTGAAGTACACCTACATATAAGCAAACGGTACAAATATGACAACCTATCTGGTATTTTCCAGCCTTGATCAGTCCAAGTTTTTTGTTTAAAATTTAAGACATCCACTTTCTATCTAAAAAATAAGAATAAAACTACCCATATTGTTAACGAAAATCAAAATCATACAAGTTATGCTTAATATAGAAACAAATATGCATATGGTTGAGCGGTTGTGGTACTCGACTTCTTCGGCAATAGAGTAAGCCAAAATATTTCAAATTTTTTTTTTTTTCAGGAAACTTATTTTCAAATCTTAAAATAAAAAAATCAATATTTATTTTTAATCCAGGTTAACAAGAATTTGCATTAGTTTGATATACTACGATTTCCACAATTTAATGGATGCCAGGGTATACAAACAACAGACAGACACCACACATAACTCAATTGGGCTATTCAGGCACAAAGCACAAGCCGTACCCAGCTTATAGCATTTCAGATTTAATTTCATCAAAGTAGAGAAGTCAAGAGCAGAGGTCGACCATCGAACGATGTACATATGAGTGGGCAGCTCCAACTACTCGGCCCCTTGACCAGCAGCGAGAGCATGTCAGCACCCATGTGTGAGCCACGTATGTGAAAGTCATGCACATTCAACACATGTAGAACGGAATCCTAATGGCATTTTCTATCTTTCCATCAACCTGTCCCTTTGTTGGTCCTTGGCTACGTCAAAGGGTTTGCGACACGGTAGGTTCATTGCTTTTTCAGTTAGTTAACCGTACTCGACACGTTTCGCTTGGCTGGGTCAATATGCGAGTTGTTGCCGTCTGTTCAGCGCTTTAGCCTGTAATTAAACATTTTTTCCCCCCTGGAATTCGTATGGGCAAGGTTGAAGGCGAAGATTTCCATCTGCGTGCATCTCTGTCGCTCCACCTGCCTCTGTTTCTAACTGTTGCCCTGTTAGCTGAAAATTAATGAGTGCCGTCCGTTGCCTGGAGCCAGTTCATTCGCTCAGCCAGCTTTGCTCTTACGGTATAATCCCCAATTAGTCCTAACGCTAGTTTGCAAACCCAGTTTTGTGGCTCACCGCCTAAACGTAAATTCGAATTTAATTGGCAACTCTAAGCTACCTACTAATTGATGAGTTAAGGCCGTTCAAGTGTCTGCTTCTGTTGTCGCTGTTTTAACAGCTATACAAAAAAGCTATCTATTCTATCTGCATAAAATAAATAAACAAAAAATTGTTTGCAATTTACTTGAAATCAAAAATGTTGTGCTCAGTAAAATTACAGATGTAGCAAAGGCTGTAAGTAATAAAGAAACTAAACAGTTTTTGTTTACAAAAATTGCTTTAACTGTTAAATTCCATTTTAGCGTTGGTTTTAACGAAAATTTCGCAGCTCATCTGCAATGGATATGTTATATTGGATATGTTATATTTATTTTTTTTGTTTTGTTTTTGTTGCTTTGCATTTTTTGGTCCAATAAGCCATAAAGTGAAAATTGCATTTTCAAGTTTAGCACTCAGCTGTCGGGTGTGTAATACATAAATTTAATAAATACAATTTGACGAGCACATCTCTACGGCGGGGTACAGCATCAGGGGCATATGATGGTCCATCACTTGCATTGCTGTTGGCACTATGAAAATTCGTTATTGGATTTTTGCAACACAATGAATTTATACAACACACTCGTGCGTTATCAGGTCTTTTTTGTGAAACAGAATACAAAGGCAAGACATCAACGTCAACGTCACTTTTTCGTGTCTGTTCACATACAGCTTAAAAAGAGTGTGTGATGTTTTGAATATATATGTTAAACTCTCAACGCTGACAACAAATACTCGCATGCCCTTTCCTCTATCATCAGCAGCATCCTCAACTCTCTCCAATTGAAGCTAAATCGAATGCAAATAATTATTCAGAACAATTCCAACTGCTCGTTGGTTTAGGAATATCATGAAAGCCTAATCCCTGTCCACTAATTAACATATTACGCATACGGCCTGTACATGTTGGCTGCTCCAGTCCCCTCCCCCCTCCCCAACCCTCAGGCAGTACATTGAGTCCATTGGAACATATAACTCACTGTTCTTTGTACAGATGTAGAGAACTTTTAAATAATTATTGCTTGGCTGCAGTCCATTGAAATTGAATTGTGGAATCAGACCTTTGTAGTCAAGTATCGCTGCATCTGTCGAAATTGAATTTTGGTCTGTTCAAATTATTAGAAAATTGATTCAAACGGCAAAACAGAGTGTTCTGCACAGGACCGTTGAGATTATTAACTTATGGCTGGACACAAACAATGAGAATTTAATTATGGCAGATTTCAGAACATGAACATGAATACGTTGATATCAAATACTTTCACACTACTTGAAATTGTATTATTTTGCAAATTTTGTAAAATATTTATCAATTTGAAATTGAGTTTATGATGCGAAAATGCGAATAATAATTACTCAATGAAATAATATAAGCTACGGACCTTGAATAATATTGTAATACTCCTTTTTTCGTTTATTGCCTAGTTATTTGTATATATATTGACGGAGCAAGCAATAAAGAAGCTGATTAAAGCATAATTTACAGGCAATTTATTTGATATTGCAAGTTTTATCTAAATAGAATAAAACTCAAAAGTGTTTACCGAAGCAAGGTAATTTTTGTATTATTTTAGTTAATATAATTATTGGTTGATAATAAAAAAACCATAAATATTAATTAAAATTGTTTTTATATACAATCAAAACTTATTATTAATCACAAAATTCAAGATACGTAACCCAACTCAAAGAACGTAAAGACTTGTTGAATCCTATTCTGAGGCTCATAAGATTACAATTTATATAAACGAAATGCATTTTAAGATATGCAGTAGGTCATGATTGGCATGGGAAAAGTATTATGTCAGTAAAAATCCATATAAAATTGACGCGCATTTTTATTGTTGAACAAAAGATTTATGCACAATACCAATATGCATTTGACAGCGTCCAACAGGACCAACTGAAGTATGACACTTTTGTGTAGCCCAAAACGGCTATGTTTGTAAAAAAATCCCAGTACTTCACTCCATATGCCAAACAGAAATCGACAAACTAATTCAATATCTGGCGTTTGTACACTTTTATCACTCGACGGCTAACCAATTCCCATAATTCCCGAACTCGCCTCTTTGCAAGCCTAAACAAAAACTCCATTCGTGTGAATTGCATTTTCATTTGTATAGAATTTTCATTGCCAGTCCGTGTGTTACTCTTAGCTCCTCGCTTTCACACATATCCCGCCGCCAGGCAAACTTGAAAAAGGGGTGAGGCATGGAGAATAGGACCATGCCTCGTGTTGCACTGACAGTTTTTTGGCAAAATGCCAGACGGCCATGGGCAACACCGCCACTGCCATTGCCACTGCTTTTGGCAATGGAGTGCATACTCTCTCCAGCCCATCGAGGAATGCGTGTGGAAAATTTAGCACGTTTTACGTGCCATGACGACAAATAAAAAATTGAAGTAAATTTGGCAACTGGCTGGCTGCAGTCGTTAGTATACCGGCTCTATGGCGTCAGCATTCGGTTTCGTCGAGTTCTTCAAATAAAATAAAAAAAACGACGAAGAAAAGAAAAGAAAAAAGAAAAATACGAACCAAATGTGACAGAGAGCGGGGTGAGTCAAACTGATAGACAGCCAGACAATCAGTCGGCAGACGACAGACAGAGCCATAAAAAGGTGTTAAGCTCTTAAACTCGTTCTTCATCGTTTACTATAGCATTCTTATCGAATACTAAATTGGGAAGCATGCATTTTTATTTAATAATTATGACGACAATTATAAATTACAGCTAACCCAAAATTTATAAAAAAAAAAATTAATATTGAAATAGGTGGCTTAGATTGTAAACACCATTAATGGAATTTTATATATAAAAAAAAAATTATCATAAAATACAATAGTAATAAAAAGAAAATAAGAATAAATAACCATCAGAGAAAGGCACATCCAAAAACTTCACACCGGCGTATCTACGAAGCGAAATATTTATATACCTCATTCCTCTTCATTGTAAATATCGCTCTATGTTAACATCATATCAGTTAGATACTTGTAACTATATTTCCTTCCCTCATTCATTCGCTAAAAACATATCTTAACGATTTATTACCCTTGCAGAGCCAACCTTTTCATAATGCTCATAGTGCTTTGCCCGTATCTAAGTAGCACAGGGAAAATAGTTAATGCCGAGTATGATTAAGATATCATGAAACACAAAGAAGTTTTCCATACAACAACTTAATAATCGACAGATCGCTCCTATGGCAGCTATATGATATAGTAGTCTGATGTAAATAAGGTTTTGCATTAATGGAGGGAACATAGTAAAACTAATAAATGCCAAGTTTGGTCAGGATATCTTGACAAAAAAAAATCTTCCATACAACTTAATTTCCGACCGATCGTTTCTATGGCAGCTATATGATAAAGTGGTCCGATGTTGATAGGATTGAGAGGATAGGATAGCATAGAAAAACGAACCTATGCCGAGCTAGGTCAAGATATCTAAATAAACAAAAAGTTGTGCATACAATAACCAATCTTTCCCATGGCAGCTATATGATATAGTCTTCCGATCCAGCTGGCTCCGACATATGTACTGCGTGCTGCAGAAAGAGACACTTTTGCAAAGTATCATAAAGATAGCTTTAAAACTGGGAGACTAGTTCGCATAGAAACAGACTGACGGGCAGACGGGCATGGCTATATCGTCTCGGCTGTTGATACTGATCAAGAATATATATACTTTATGGGGTCAGAGATGTCTCCTTCTATACGTAACATATTTACGACAAAATTATAATACCCTCAACAAGGGTATAATAAGAAGAAAAACTAATTGAAATTTAAAATTTTCAAAGCATTTTCGTTTAACTGTAAGTGTGGAGTTAAAATTTTAAAATGAAGGAATAATAATTCTTATTTTTAGTGTTTTAGTATGATTATAAACGCAGATACAACTTTTGATTTTTTACCTTCATTGTTTAAACATGTAATGTTTTGTGTCCCTTTAAAGACTTTTGCGAGAACGTGACGTATACGCAACGTGGAAATTCAGCTAAGCTAAATTTACCAGAAGCTGCGAGGCAGAAAACTAACCGCGGCTGGTTTGATCTGGCCAGTCTGGGCGCTGTGAGTGCCAGGAACGAGCTCTCGGTAATATGTATTATGGAAGCCGCGTCGGCCAACTCCCTTATTAATATGCAGAGCAGTCAGGCAGGTGTCTTTGCTGCCGTTTTATGCCACAATTTGAGCCACGTGTCGCTGCTGTTGCTGCTGGCAAGGCTTAAATAATGTGGCCATAATCGCTGGCACAGATTTTCGCAGCTGCAACGTGAAATTAACAATATTTAGACCCAATTTTGGCAGGCGCACAACTCAATTTTGGCAGAGTTCGGGCTGACTTGGGCTGAGTTATTGGCCGAAAAGTAGAAAAGGCGAGCACCAGCTTGTTGAAGGCACACAACAAACAGCTGGCAGCCCTGCAATATAGTATACTGGCAAGCAACTACAGTATCCTCCGCAGGTAAGCAATTTTATTGACGTGCAACAAACACACACACTCACACACATTCTTACACACACGTTACCCACATGAGCTGCTCATCAGCAGCTTGTTAGCTGCTCGTTGTCAAGGGTTCATGGGAGCGTCCGTCAATGCATAGGATGCCAACAATAGACACAGCTACTATCAAGTAAAAACAACAGCAACATTGGAGCTAAGTCCCACTCCCATTCCCCGGTCCTTCACCCACTTGACCACAGCCGACACCACCCGACATGACATTGCTTAGATAAGAGCTTGGTTACATTGTACACATGCAGGCAACATGTTCCTGTTCCCAGTTCAAGTAGCCGATACTTAAATTAAGAACCAAACATGCAGTCCACGCATCGAACTGATTGACGGTCCGTGTACATCCACTCTTTCGGTTTCACGCAGTCTTTGTCATGTTCTCATTTGCTTGACATAATGATGTTATTTGCAAATTCATTCAATTACCAACATAATTCATCACTTTAACAACCAGTTTGTCAATCCGAAATGAGAATTCTGTGCATTACGCTCGACAGTGCCTGAGTTTTCAATGAATGATGGATGCTCTCTTTTGCAACTTGTAAATGTTCTTTTGAATTGTTTTGCATCTTAAAATATAGCCAACAGTTCATCTATCTATTACATATTTTAGAAAATCAAGAAACTACACTACGTCTGCACTCAGAAACCTGTGAAATAAATAGCTATACACTAATTTTGATGTTTACGTATTAAGTTGGCGTTGCCGCAATTGCAATCAATTCCCTGAACAAAATATGTTGCTTGTCAACTGAGGCTAATTTTGACCCGAATATGAATGTACTTGATTGTTTTAAATCAGCAAATTGCTTTAATATGTATAATTAAATTTTATTGTATTTAGTTCAATTGAATTGATATTGATGGATATTAAAATATATTTGTTCTGTTTAATGAAGACCACAAACAGTTTATTTCTTGTTTCGACCTCATTGCTGCCTCTTTAAATATTTATTTCCCTCATACTAGGCTCTTACTCATCTTTATTAACATCAACTTGAACCTGTGTCGAGAACAGTTTCCTGCCTACAAATCGGCACTTCCGACATCATAATATTTGGACGGACAGCTCACATCACAAATGTCATGCGGAGAAACTACGCGCACATGACAGGCGAACATTACCACCCACTGTGTATACCCTGTATCCATAAAATGAATAAAAAGAGTAACTTAGTAGTTAGTTTAAG